AGGAATAACAGTGTTCAGAGGGGTGATTGATCCAGATGGCCGTGGGGAAATTAGATTGCTTCTCCCCAACAGAGGTAAGAAAGATTGTGTCTGGAGGGCAGGAGATCCTGTAGGGCGTTTCTTGGTGCTACCACATCTTGTGGTTAAAGTCAATGGGACATTACAATAGACTGGGTGACAAAGGTAAGGACTCATCAGGAATGCTGATATACACCACTTCTCCATGAAAAATGCAAAGTCCTGCTGTGGTTTTTGCCAAATGTGGAGGAAATGCAGAATGGGTAATAGAGAAAGGTAATTATAAACACCAGCTAAGCGCACATGACCAGTTGCAGAAAGTAGATTATAACTGACCTGCTTCTGTCAAAGTTTGTTAAGATATTTGTGTTTTCTTTCTCCAATGTCTTTATCATGTGATATAATATGAATTAAGAGAATATCAATGATTATCATATTTCAGTTTGAGATGCTAAAAGAATGTCTCTCGAGAGACACTGTTACCTATTCTAAATTTATAATGCATTTGCAGTTGTGCAAGGTATAATTTTATTAGACACAATTATGACCTGCTTATTGTTTTTTAATTTAGAAATTAAGCACGATATAAGGAGATATGATTGTGTGTCGAGTTGACAAGGTGTGAACTTGTGGCGGCCATCTTTGGCTATCAACATGACTATATCTGGAATTATCTAAACTCCAAGCTGCTGGGTGCACCTTTGAAGGATTTTTGTCTTAACTAAATCACTTGAAGTGGGAAAACCCAATTTAAATCCAGGTCTTTTGAGATCGGAAGACCCACCTTTAATCTGGGCCGTATACCTTCTGCTGGAAGCCTATATAAAGACATAGAATGAAGCCCCTCTCTTTGCCTGCTTGTTCTAGCTTGAAAGTCCATTCCTTTACTGGCATTAAAGTCTACATTTTCAGGATTCTAAAATATATGATGACCAGATGAGATATCCAGCCTCATAAATTGAACAACCCCTTGATTCTTGGAAGTTTCCATTGGTAGTCAGCCATTGTTGGACTAGCTGGACCCCAGGCTGTAAGCCACTCTAATAAGAATAATTGAATGTGTCTCCACTATTTACTTTTCATTACCAAGATAATGCGCAGATTTCTTCTTCCTGTAGAAGACTTACCACATATTATAGATAAAGCTGTGTTTCCCTTTGACCTTCTTTCCTGTAGCAGTTCCTTCCCAGAGGTAGGCACTGGATTTGTCTTAGTTACTCTCCTATTGCTATGAGACAACCCCATGACTAAGGCAACACAGGAAAAGGAAGTTGAAATTTCTGTTTTCTCTGGAGACTCAGTTGTGTCTTGTGATGTTTTTCTGGAAACTGTCTTGTGTTTGTGCTGAAGCAGACACGTGGGAGGATGTTTGGCTGAGAACAGACACATGGTGTTTTTCTAGAAGCTGCCTGGAAAGGGGGTATGAGATGTTTTGCTAGAGCAGCCGCTTGAGAGAACACGTGATGTTTGGAAAGGGTATAAACATAACCCCACAGACAGTGGATGGCGCTGTGTGGCGTTGGTTCACCTTGCCGCTTTTTGCTGATCATCGTTTGTTGTGACTCCGTTGAGAGTCACCAAAGAATTTCTGGTGGTATTCCAGTGGTTTCTTGCAGATTCTCTGAACTTGGGCCAATTGGCAGAACCTCACAAGGTTTCTTCTGGATGGCCAAAAGCCATTGCTGTGGCTAATCAGTGAATGTTGTTCGCAAGTGGATCAAGCGACCACTGCTGATTCATGTGAAGTAAACTGCTGATACCCCAGCAACGTAGATTGGATTCACCCACCCCAAAGAACTATTTCTAAACAGGCCCACATCCTCCTTTACCCTACTAACCTTTCCTTCCCACTAACTGGTGGGTGTTGGGCTAAAAGGAAGGTTAAAGCATTTAAGAACACTTAAGTTGGTTTTTGAAAAATATAAGCTGGCAGGAAAAAAATATTGCTGGCCTCAAACTCAGAGATTCACCTGCCTCTGCCTCTTATAGGAAAAAAATACTTTTGTTTTTTTCAAGACAGTTTGTCTGTGTGGCCCTGGCTTTCCTAGAACTTGCTCTGTACACCAGGCTACCCTTGAACTTAGAGATCTGCCGGCCTCTGCCTCCCAAGTGTTAGGATCAAAGGAGTGTGCCACCACTGCCTGGTTGAAAGAAGGAATTTTTTTGTTTTGTTTTGTTTTTTGTTTTTCGAGACAGGGTTTCTCTGTGTAGCCCTGGCTTTCCTGGAACTCACTCTGTAGACCAGGCTGGCCTAGAACTCAGAAATCCGCCTGTCTCTGCCTAAAAAAAACCACTTTTAATTAGGGGCTTGTTGACAGTTTCAGAGGGTGAGTCTATGGTTATCATGGTGGGGAATATGACATCAGGCAGGCATGGCCCTAGGGCAAGTAGGGGAGAGGTGACGTCTAATTCACCAGTCTCACTTGGGCTTTGAACCCTCAAAGCCCACCCGCAATAACACACCCCTCCAACGAAGCCACACCTCCCAATCTTTCCTAACAGTTCATTAACTGGGAACCAACATCTGAATATATGAGCCTGTGGGAGCCATTCTGGTTCAAACCGGTGAAGTGGAAACTTAAGGGTTCTTTGGAAAGTCGGTTGGATGGCGTTTTGCTGGGGCAAACACGTGAAAGAACATTTAGCTGAAGCAGACACGGATAAAAGGATGTTCTGCTTAAGCAAGCATGTGAAAGGAGGTGTGATGAAGGATCCTTCAGTATCCAACACGCATGTGCTGGTCCACCTTACGTTGTGTAGATGAGCTTTGTTTGTCAGGACTCCGTAGAGAGAAACACGCCAAAAACCTTCTGGTGGTGTGCGGCAGTTTCTTGCCGCTTCAGTAGACTTGGGCTGATTGGCAGAGTGCTGTCAACTGAGACAGATCCACGCACGTGGTGAGGCCAGACCCATGGAGGAGGGAGGTGTTCGGAGAGAGTATAAAATGGATTCCATGGACAGTGATGAGGGCGAGCTTGGCTTGCTGGTACAGCTAGCTGTGCAACCCTCATGGGTCTCCCACCTTCACGGATCTTCGCTTTGCTGAGAGAGGCACAGTTGAGAACTTCTCTGGGCATCCCTCTGGGTCCCTCCTGCTGACTCGTGCCAAGGCTGAGGCCTGGCTATCTCTGCTAGGTCCTGTCACCGCTGTCGCTAACCCGACTCTACCAAACTGGACTGCTGATGAATCCGTGAAGTGTTTGTGTGTGGGTCGAGCTGCCGCTGCTGACCTGAGAACTGAACTGCCGATTTCCAGACAACACAGCCAGGAGTTGCTCCAAAGAACCTTTCTAAACATGTCCACTTCCCCCATATCTGTTCTTTTCTACTACTCTGGTGGGTGGTGGGCTAAAAGGGAGGATAAAGCATTTAAGAACCATCATTAAAAACAGGATTTGAAAAAATTAAAATTACAAATCAACACATTATTTTCCAGATTTTTTATTAGTATATGTATATGTTTATGGCATAATCATGGTTTTGGGAACATGATTGCAGCACTTTAAGTGTTTGTAAAGTGTATTATAAAACTGTGCCTAACAGAATACATGGTCCACTGACATTAGGCACCATAAGTATCTTCTTAAACTTGTTATTATGTAAACGGCTCGAAATCATTTTTTCAGAAGAAAATAGAGTATGGCATTGCTTACATTTCCCCAATCATCCAATTAGTATTCAAGGAAGAAATAATTTGACCATCTTTCTTCACAGCCAACACGATCACATTGTCATATGCTAACGGAAACTCTGGAAGCTACTGTGAAATACAAGCTCAAGAAAAAAAACCCCACATATATATGTGTGTGTGTGTGTCTGTGTGTGTGTGTGTTGTGTGTGTGTGTGTGTGTGTGTATGTATGTATGTATGTATGACACAAATCATCATAAGCAACTAGTCAATTATTCCGGAAATATGTAGTGACCCTTCACAAACAAATCTCTATGGCTGAAGTCTGTTGAGCAACCCCATAGTGATATCAAATCTCATTACCACAAGTATAAATCACCTCACAAATACTGAGATGGGAGGGGGGAGGGAGGGAGGGAGAAGGAGAGAGGGAGAAGGGAGGGTAGAGGTGGTAGGGAAAGAGGAATCCGCTGAGAAAGAAGGTGGGAGAGAGGGTGGGAGGGAGGGAGGAGGGAGGAGGGAGGGAGGGAGGAAGGCAGTGAGGGGCAGGCATTGGCCCCTGCCATTGGACTACATTTCCCAGAGTCACTGGGTGCAGAACGCCGCTCCCGTTTCCTCGCGAGAGTTCGGGGTACTTGGGTCGCGAGAGGGCTGTGTCTGGAGGAGCGCCTAGGCGTCCGGCGGAGCAGGTTGACTGAAGTCAAGTGTGGGGCCGGGCGCAGGAGGCGGGACCCCGAGCCTCCCCGCGGAGGTGAGAGTGTAGTCTGGGCATTAGGTGGCGGTGTCTCCCGTGTGTGCGCTACAAGCGCTTGCTTTAGGAGCTTGTCGCGACCCTGGACTGTGGTTGGCGTGACGTGTGTGAGTGAGTTGTGACTCCAAGGGTGTGTGTGAGTGATTGTCGCTTATCTCGCTGGGGACGTTTCTGGGACTGTGATGGTGTCGGCCCACGTGCAGGGTGGAGAAACGGTGCTGTGACAGCGAGATGTCAGGATGCTCGTGTCACTGAGGTTGTCGGGTGTACCTGGTGTCCTGTGCATAACTGGCTTGCCTGGGAAGACATGTATGACAGTGTCACCGAGATTGCGATTGCTTGTTTCCGTCGCCCGTGACTTTAGTGCGTTTTCCCATCTGGGTGACTGTGTGAGTGCGTGCGTGTGTATGCATGTGTATGCATATGCATGTGTGTGCGTGTTTATGTGTGTACATCTGTGTATGTGTGTGCTGTTCTCACGATTGTAAAGTAGAAGTGCACCCTTGTGAAAGAATGTCGGTGACAGTATCTGTCCCTGATGGGATGTTTGGTTATTGTACCTGCTTGGATCCTGTATAGTGCTCCGGCAGTGTAGCTCTGACAGTGTAAATTGTGACACTAGCAGTGTGACTGGAAATTTTATTGCGTGTAGCTTCGTGTGGTCATTAGTATATTTTGTACCTGTGACCCTTCCCTAATGTAGTAGGGTACAGCGGTGAGATTTTGTTTGGAATTCATTGGGGTGGATCTACCAAAGGATCCTGAGTTTCTTGTGTAGGACGTAACCTCTCTTTTACCACGGTGGCAGCTCATCCATCCATCCATAGCCAGTACTGACTCGGTCCACCATCCCTCCTCTTTCCACCTGGGAATAGTTTGGCTGCTGGTTCCCTGTGCTTCACAGCCAAGGAAGCTGACCGAAAGGAAGCCAGATAATGGAGACTCCTCATGAAGAAGTCTAGGATTCAGGTGAGACTTTGACATGGAATGGCACCCCACCATTCTCGTACAAGAAGTGCTCTAGAGGCTAGGACTTATGACACGGCCATGCAGGCTCTGTCTCTAGTGGGCAGGTTTAAGTTTAGACAGGGACGGACTGGGTGGATGGAGGAAGAGGTTGTCTCTAATTCAGAGTATATGGCAAGAACAACATAGCGTCTCATTTAACTTTCGTATTCTCAGGGTACACTACAGAAGAGAAAAAATGGCCATTGTCCATTTACAAGGGAAATTTGAGATAAGTAGATATTGGTCCCCTCAACAGCCTTTATTATATCAGAAAATTATCTTAGTTTTACTTTATTGTTGTTTTTGTGAATGTCTCCTACCCAAGTCTTCCCTTATCGTGGAGGAACAAGGTAATTTATTTATTCTTTCTTACTTATTTCTGAGGCAGGGTCTCTGCCTGGTTTGAACCTCTTTCTGTAGGGCAGACTGGCCTTGAAATCAAAGACCCATCTCTGTCTTCCAAGTTCTGGACTAAAGGCATGCACTAACCCAGTGGCATTTGACTTTTATATTTTAAGAGTAATGAAGATATGTAGTTTGTGATAGTTTATTTCCAATAGTGGATACATTTATAAAGAATGGATTTGATGCTCAAATTAAAAGTAAGAACATTCTTGTACTATTAATGTAACTTTTGGGAGAATTTAGCTTTTGTTTCAGTGTTTTGTTGTGGGTTTGGTTTGGTTTTCTTTTTGAGACAGGGTTTCTCTGTGTATCCCTGGCTGTCCTGAAACTCACTCTGTAGACCAGGCTTCCCTTGAACTCAGAGATCTGTCTGCCTCTGCCTCTGGAGTGCTGGCTTTAAAGGCGTGAGCCACCACCATCCAGGGTCTTAGCTTTTTAAATTTTTATATTTATAACCTTATCTTGCTTTATAGCTCAAACTAGTCAAACTCTTGCTTCAACCTTCAGGGGTTTTTTTGTTGTTTATTTAATAAATTAAGTCTTATATTTGTGTGTATTTGAGTGAATTTGTTCCGTATATATACAGGTACCCAGGGAGTCCCTGAGAAGGCACTAGAGCTGGAGTTACAGGCAGTGGCCAGCTGCCAGGTGTGGGCATGTGGAACAAAACTGGAATCTTCTGCTGGCACAGATTTCATTTCGTTTTGTTTTTAGACAGGGTCGTGAGTAGCCCAGAGGAGAGTCACCTTGAACTCTTGGTCCTCTTGTGTCTACCTCCTAAGAGCTGAGAGAGTACAGGCATCTGCTGCCACACCCAGCTCTGATTTTTTAGCTTCTGATTAGAATTTTAAAATGAGAAAAGTGTACTAAGCCATTAGTACATGCCCAGCTCAGAAGTCGGTCACACACCAACCGCCCCTTCCTCAAGCCTTCACTCTCACCCGTACCCACTTGCCTCTTGCCTTTAACTATCTTTAACCCATGAGATGCCGTCTTCCATCTTCAAGTATTTCTAATAGATCTGTTGTTTCTCATTTCTTCATGGGACTTGAATCTTTTTAAATTTACCAAGCTTTGTCCCCTGACCTACAAGCTGGTGCATCTTAGTAAATGTTCCCTGTGCAGTGGAAAAGACTGTATGTGTTCTCCTGATGTTAGGTAGAACAAATGTCACCGGGGTCAGGTAGACTGTGTTGTTTAAATCTTCTGGACCTTTACTGATTTTTCTCAATTATTATTTATTTATTGAATGTGTCTCTTTTTCTTCAAAGGTGATCCTGGTAAGCCACTTAGGGGGAAGCTGTCCTCACCATACCAGATTTAGTAAACACCGAGTGCTTTGCAGTCATCAAAGGGAGTTGAAGCCCTCGCCAGTCATAGCTCTTGCACATCTGCATCCCTAGTCCAGGCCCCTCTCCTAGGAGGTCCTTTCTTAGACATCCTCAGCAAAGGGTAAAACCTTTACGACATTTAATCCCTACTATAAAGCAGTTCTCGGTACTTTCCCACCGCTAGCCTGGCCTCCGTCTTCCTCTCCTTTGTGCTCAGTCTACAAAATGGCAGGGAGCTTTGGTTCAGTGTGCTCTCGGCACTGAGGTGATTTCCCCCATCAGGGTCAATATACTTTCACAGTGCTGTTCCCTGGAGGAAATTCAACGGGCGGGTGCGGGGAGCTGGCACTTTATCCCAAACTGCCCTTTGCTAATATGAAGTGGTTAATAAACGGTTAAAAGTTTAGCTGTGACCTCCACTTCCAAGTTAGCTCATTGTCTTAAATCTGTAGCCCCGCCCCCTCAGGCCATCCCACTCTTGGGAGTAGGCATTCTGTGCCTGTATCAGTTACTTGATGTAGTGTTATATAAATCCTCTATATTGCTACTGATCCTTTTTTTTTTTTTTGTCAACTGATGCTTTTACTTACTGAAAGATTTTACAGTTTCCTTTTTTAAAGTAGCTATTTACGTACGTGGTGGGATGGGAGGGGTGGACAAGGGTGTGAGCCTACCATGGGTGCACGTGGAAGTCAGGGCAGCCTAGGGACTTGGTTCCTGCTTTCTTTATTTCTATTTATTTTTATTTTTTATGTATATGAGTACACTGTTGCTGTCGTCAGACACACCAGAAGAGGACATCAGATCCCATTACAGATGGTTGTGAGCCACCACGTAGTTGCTGGGAATTGAACTCAGGACCTCTGGAAGAGCAGTCAGTGTCCTTAACCACTGAGCCATCTCTCCAGCCCGGTACCTGCTTTCTTCTATGTGGGTTCTGGGGATCCCATGTTGCTGGGCTTGGGAATTGCTTTATCTGATAAGTCATCTTGCCAGCTCAGTTTCTAACTGCAGACTTGTCTTTTCTGTTCTCTTCTTCTGTTCTCTTGGTTTTTGAAATTTGAATTTTGGATATTTGAAATACATTCAGGGTTTCTGTGTAACAAGTTGATCCTATTTTTGTTACTTACTTGTTGGTGACCCAGTGGGTTTCACTGGGATCGCTTATAAGAACAAACAATCATAAACTACATATAAATCCCCAAGGAAGGGTGGGGGAATTGATCTTTAAGTCTAGCATTTTCTTGCTTTTTTTTTTTTTTTTAATTAAAGTATATTCATCTAAAGATCATAGAGCTGGAACTTGCTTCCTAAGTTTTATCACTCCCCCGGTTTTGAATGTTTAAATTGTTGCTAATATAATTTATTTTAAGCTCTTTAGATATACAGGTGTTTGTGCGTGTGTGCATGCGTGCGTGACACATGTCTGCTCACCCCAGTAGGGAACCCACAACCAATGTATGGATACCACGAAAGTCCAACTTGATGAACCAATGAGTTTTATTGGAGTTATTTTTTTTTCTTTTTCTTTTTTTTTTTTTTTTAAGATTTATTTATTTATTTTATTTATGAGTACACTGTAGCTGTCTTCAGACACACCAGAAGAGGGCATCGAATCTCATTACGGATGGTTGTGAGCCACCATGTGGTTGCTGGGATTTGAACTCAGGACCTCTGGAAGAGCAGTCAGTGCTCTTAACCGCTGAGCCATCTCTCCAGCCCCCTTTATTGGAGTTATTTACAGGGGCAGAAATGACTGACAGACACACGCATCACCAAAGCCCACCCTGGATGACAGCCCACCACAGCTGGGAACTGGGAGCTCACCGCTTGCATGTTGGAGACTGGCTTTTCCAAGTGACTCCGTTCTTAGACCTCTTTCAGATAGCTGGTCCGGACTCCATCTTCTTTGCAGCTTGACTTGTCTCCCCAGTGGCTTTCCAAAGCTGCAAAACACCCAGAGGCTAGCATCATATCATCTCTGTAACCAATCCTTTTCCAGGGGGCGGGCAGGGCGAGGAACATCCTGAACACCATCCTCTAACAAACGGTGGGATTACAAAGACAACCTTGGGGAAGCTCTCTGAAAATCTGCTATCACCTGTCCTCAGCAAGTGTCAGGTGAACCCAGTTCACCAGTAAGAAGCTACTAAAGTCAGGCGTCAGCAGGGTCTAGTACCACATGGAAAGGGCCCGGTTCATGTCACCTGCTTCCTCTGCAGGTTGGGGACGAAGCCTGGATAGCCGCTGCTAGCTCAGTTAGCTCTCTGTAGCCCTCAGGTCTCCTCTCACTTGATGTGCTCAGACCTCCTCAGGGCCAAAGGCGAGCGTCCCTGCTCTCCCCTATGTGCCTGCTGGAGCCCTGGGTCTGAGCTGTCCTGGGTTGGCATGGTGGCTGTTGGAGGAGTTCCGGGATGGGCAAACCCCATCTGTACCTAGCATAACTTTTTGCTGGAGAGAAGTGAATCCTCCTCTGGGGGATAGTTACCCACCCCCAGGACTGGCTGGATATCTTCACCTATGCTCTAGCACCAATGCCTTTTGTGAACAGCTCCTCTTTCTGTCTGCTTTCTTACGCACTCCAGTGAGACGTCAGTGTCACTACATTGGTCTTTGAGGAACCCAGACAGACATCTTCCTCTGCCTTTCCCTTCACTATCTATTCTAAGCTGCTCTTCATTTAACTAGACTCTTTTTACATGCTGGTCTAAGTCACTGAGATCTGCCGAAGCCTTTCCTACTTTATAAAGATCTTGCCCACCCGAAAGGCTCCGCAGCAGTGCTAAAGCTGGACACCAGCTTAGAGGTCCCTGCTGGATCCTCCTTTTCTTTAATGCCCCTGTGAACACCGTCCTGTTAGGTCCAGGGAACAGGGATTCGAACACAGCTTCTCTTATTCCTAGTCCTTGTTGCACCAGTACCTCCTCTAAGATCCTTCCGTTTGTGGGGGCCTCAGATGGAGACAACCAAATGTTTGGGATGGCTCTACTAAACCAGTCAGTCTGTCAGGACTGACTTCCCTCGTACTGGCCCAGGTTAAGCTGCCTTTGCCTTAAGGAGGGTTGGGAAGTTACAGTACTGTTTTTCTTCCTCTACAGCAGTGGAACTGAACCTGTCTGCTCCCATGCCCCCACAGCCTCACAAGCCAGGCTGTGACAGACTCTTTCGTTACTTATTTAAAGAACTCCCCCAATTCCAGCAGTCCATCGCTGGGCATTTCCTGAT